TATATAAGTTAAGTTTGAAGAATTTGGTAAACCGAATTGGTAAATCCAGGGAGGATGAAATCCTGAGAGCTCAATGTGAAGAACAGAGCTAATATTTAATGAACAACAAACACTTACCATGACAATAATTTATTTCACTAAAATCTCTTTTAAGGGATTTTGGATCATCAAATAACACTTCCAACAATGAATTGAGAGGAAAAATATGATTAGAAATTGATGGGTAGTGTAATTTTATATCTATACATATATATATATATATATATATATATATATATATATATATATATATAGGAACTCCTAAGTATGCGTGCTACTAAGCCACATTAGTGAAAATAGTTCAATACCATATTTACTGATAGAAAATAATAAAATTTATAAATAACTTCACAGGCGAGCAAATCACCGATACAACTAAAATTTCCATGCGTTTTCATTTAATCATCAATCAATTGGCAACATTTGTCTTTTGTCTAAATGAGCAAATTATACTCTCTCTGCAAGCCCGAGATGTCAGAACGAGGCTAGCTGATGTGTACATAATATACACACACCAACTAATCTGACCGTGGAGGAAATACACATATGGAAATGTAGAGAACCACAATTACTTATGAAAGGATAAAAAAATAGATACACCAGAAATAATCGTGAGCCTAGAAATGTTATAAAGTTCGTAATTCTGATTAATAATATTGTAAATAAAATCACTGGAATAAAAGATTTGCGAAGAAGGGGGTTAATAATCTGGATTTAGAATACAATAATAGCGAATAGCGGCATTAGTGCGGCAATGTAGACGGCTCAACGCTGAGACACTTTGTGACCACTTTGCGACACTGTTCCTGTGATCAGAAGTCCTGTTTATAGTGAATCGATGATGGACACCTTGACATGGTGTAATGGTTTGCACGCTAGATAACGTATGACTGAGTAGTGAGTTCGATTTTCACTGGGTGCCCCACACATTCGGATTTGTGTCACATTATGGACCTTGGCCTTCAACGTGGTTTAATGTTTAAAGGGTTTATCTCGTTAGATCCATTACGGCTGAAAAGAGAGTTTAATTTCTAACTAGGTGCCCGAAAATTTTCAGCCTTGTGCCACAATAATTTGGGCCTTTCAACATGGTTTAATGTTTAAAGGGTTTATCTAGTTAGATGAATTACGACGGAAAAGTGTGTTCAATTTCTAACTAGGTTCCCGAAAATTTTCAACGATGTCTCTCAACTGTTCTACTCTTAGAAAATAATTTGGACATTTCAACATGGTTTAATGTTTAAGAGCTTGTCTCGTTAGATGAATTACGACTGAAAAGAGAGTTCAATTTCTAACTAGGTGCCTCAATATTACAGCCTTGTGCCACAAATGAGCTACGCTTAGAAAATAACCATAGTGAGTGGACGAGTGTATGTTCAACAGTTTATTGTAAAGAAGGTCTGCCATCTTTCTATACAATAAAAAAAGAAAATTTATTCTACATTTCGCTGCTCTTTTTTCTTCCTTTGCAGACGTCATTATTTCTTTCGTTTTATTACAGGTCTTTCTTTAAACATTTCTCTTGCATTATGAATCTCAACCCAGTGCGTGTCAAAAGGCAGATGCGTGGTTGTCATGAGAGGTGATGGCTACCAGCTGTGTGTCAAACTACAAAAGTCAGTTTTCGCAGAAATTGCATAAGTGAATGTATGGTCCATGTGTGGATGAAGAACCGCAGATCCTCAAAGACACACTTTTTTTAAATTTTTTATGCCCCATGCCTCTTCATGATGTAGGCGATCATGGCCCAGCTCATCCTCTGTCTCTTGTCCAAAATAAATCTTGTCTGTTTGCTATTTCTTCCAAAGACTGTTCTACCATCAATTTACTCAAGCCCATCAAATATATTTTGCGCTTTTTTTCTCTGTCCCTCTTTCCTTCAATCTGTCGCGTGAATATCAAGTTTTCTAAGTCGTCCTTCCTCATAACGTGACCCAGAAATTTCAACTGCTTTTTTTTTAACTGATGTTAAATATTAGTTTACGTTTTATTTCTTTTTTCTATAAAACCACGCTGTTGCTCATATATTTGGTCTATGGCATCCTCAGCATATTTTTGTAGGACCGCATTTCTGTTGCTTCAAGTCTCTTCATCTTTGAGAAGATTATTCAGCATTAATTGTGATATAGGAGGACAGATATCACGCAACAGTTCAGTATTCTTTTCTTTGTTTCTAACGAAGATTTCCTGTTTTTTTTAACACTCTGTTTTGGAATGCATCTACGTGTTAGGTTCTCTGTGTCGCACTTTCCATCCCATGTTAAAGTTGACTGACAATTATAAACAAAGCCCTGAGATGAAATAAAAGAAAACGCTTCGAAGGAACATACTGTGTCGTGTTGTGATTTGTGACGTACTAGGATAAATCATTTCCTTTTCTTTTCTTTCATTTTATAATTTTAATTTGAGATTATTTGCCAGTTTTCTATCTATATATTTTCGAAACTCATTCTTTCTTCGCCGCTGCTTTTCATGCATAAAATATGTTCATTCTTTCCTGTCTTTTCCACCTGTTTTTTCTTCCGTTTTACTTCTTTCAATTATCTATGTTTTCGTTTTAATTTACAGATATTTTTGAAACTCGTTCTTTCTTTCATTTTCAAATGCTCGTCCTTTTTGTTATGGAGTGAAATTATGTTGTAGAGTGATTTCACAGTGGAGGCTTGTATTTGTACTAAGTCGGTCCTAAAATAGGTTCGACGTACCAAACATTAGGAATTTCAAATAATAAGTATAACGCAGAGAAGTCTAGTTGTAGTCCCTGATACTTTAGTATTCGACTAACGGTCGTCCGTCATCGACTGACTGACCGACCCACTCAGCGACTACTCGTTACTATTACTACTCCTACTTATTATAGGTGGGAGAGTCTATTAACTATAGAATAGGTATGTTCCAATATAACACTTTTCTATTCTTTCCTTTTTTTATTTTATTTTTGAAAATTATTCATCAAATGTTGTTATTTTCTTTAATTCATGTGTGACATTCATTATTTCTGTTACAAGATTTTAGCTGTGTTAGTTTTGAAAATAGTAACTTTTTTCTGTACATTTGTTTTCACTATTGGATTGGTAAATATGATTATATCTATTTGCATAACTTAAGTAGAAGAGATATAAGGCAAAGAATTGAAGAGAAAGACGTCGTGATGGAAGAAGATCTTGAGAATGAAGAAAGGATGAGTTCTTCAGATCAGGATAATGCAATAGAAGACGAGCCTATGGATGATAACCGGATTGATTCAGATACGGAAGAAGATTAAATGAGACCAATATCTCTAATAAAAAAGAAATGTTTACAAACCTCAAAGGGGAGCAGATGACAACGGTTGTCGAAGTTCGATGACAATCAAACGAATAAACTCCCTCGCTTCAGGGAGGTGTAGTGGATTCGTAAATAGGACTGTACTTATTTGCACATGTTAAGTAGAAGATATATAAAATGTATAGTCAAGTAAGAGACAGGTAGAAGTTGATTAATGATCACGTGTCATAGAAAAAAACATAATGCAACACTTTCTTTAATTTTTTAAAACATTTCGGTTTTCCTTATTTATATATACGTTAAAAAACAATATTTCGGTGCTACTATAGAATGATATCTACCGTTTATTTTCTTTACTATAGTATGATATCTGCTATTCATTTTCTACTATGATATGACATTTACGAGGTGTTGGAAGTATGAAATATGTTAGGGTTAGGTATTTGGATTAGGGGTTAGGGTTAAATTCAGTGAACAGGTGATGTATTAATAACTTCAACAATTTGTTATACAAAAAATCATCAAATAGTGATTTACATTAGTTTGTAAATCGATTTGTTTTCATTTAACAAAGAAACAGCAATCAGATCGTTTTCCTAAGCATTTTCCAGAAATGCGTGGATCGTTATTTAAGGTAGATCTCAAATGTCTCTGTCAATATCATAGTCTAGTAGTACTAATATTTCTTTATTTAACTTTTCTTCTTTTAATTATTTTAAAAGATATTTCGTTTTATTTCTCTTATATTCGATTCATTTCTTTCTTTCTTTTATTCTCAAAATTCCTTCGTTCTTTTATTCTATTATCTTAGATAATTTTCACAGATTTGGCAGATTATTTTCCCGATGATTCCTTACATTTGCTATTTACTCCGGTCTTTTTATTCGTTTCTTTTTACAGTCGTTAATTTACCTACTCGCTCTATTTATATTTACATCTCATTTAATTTCTTTCCCGTTATTCGTGCCATTTTGAGTAGTTTCTTTATTGTTTTTCTTTTCTTTTCTTTTCAATACGTTTGTTTATTTTTTGCAATTGTTGATAATTTTCAGCAAGAATGACTTTTGTACATTTAATCATCTGAATTAAATTTTCTTCGTTTTCATTTTCAACATCACGCCTTTCTTTTCGTTTGCTTTTTTCTATTATGTTAAACATTCTTCTTCTTAATTTTCTTTCGATTCATTTATTTTATATTTAAAATGTCATTTCGCCTGTTTCATTGCTATTCTTTTATTTTCAATTTCTTTTTTCGTAAAATATTATTTCTTTCTTCTGATAAAAATCTTTCCCTTTGTGTTTTCTGTTTTTTCCCCTTCTTTAGCAGTCACTTCTTATTAATCCTTCCTTGTTTATCTGCAAAATTCCCCCTTTCTCTGTATAGTTTCCTTTCGTTTATTTTCGAAAATGTGTTCCCTTATATTTCTTTTCCTTAACTTCGAATATAATTGTTTTTCCTTTTTATTCTAGTTACATATTATTCTATTGGATCTTTTCTGTTAATTCACTCCAAATTAATATATATATATATATATATATATATATATATATATATATATATATATATATATAAATATATATGTATAGATAGATAGATAGATAGATAGATAGATAGATAGATAGATAGATAAACAAAAGAGACAACGATGGGGACAAAACAATAATCAGCCAGGCAGATAGACAATGAGTTGTAG